ATCGAAAACCTTTGGGCTATACTCGACCGGCAAGTCAATAAACAACAACAAAAAAAACCAACTTCGAAGAACGATCTACTCCAAGTTTTGAAGCAAGAGCTGGCGAAAATCCCACAATCTAAAATTGACGAGATGATTGTCACCATGCCCTAAAGGATCAACGAACTCCACGAAGCGAAAGGAAGATCTACTAGATATTAATTGAATTATAAATATATCAATTCATGTGGATATGACTGAAAAATTTTACTTTTTCTGAAAAGGTGGTGTCTATTTACTTGTGACTACGCTGTGTATATATGGATTTTTCTAACATGTAAACGTGAGTCTTGTGGCACACAAGTATGAGTCTTCTTACACATAAACATAAGTTTTCTAACACGTAAACATGGGTCTTTTGAAACGCAAATATATATCTTTTAACAAGTAAACATAAGTCTTCTGACATGGAAACATGGGCCTTCTAACAGGCAAATATAGATCTTCTAACACGTAAACGTGAGTCTTCTAACACGTAAACATGGGTCTTTTGACATGGAAATATGTCTTTTAACAAGTAAACGTGAGTCTTCTAACATGGAAACATGGGTCTTCTAACAGGTAAATATGGATCTTCTGACATGCAAACATGAGTCTTCTGACACGTGAACATAAGTGTTCTGACTCGTAGAAAGAAGTCTTTAACACGCAAAAAATGAGTCTTCTGACACGTAAAAGTGAGTCTTCTGATATATTAATATAGCTGATGGCCCTGTTTCTGATATCGATCTCAAAAGCTCCATACGGGTCGTTAGTTAGTAATTTTTTTTTTTATTTCGCGCAATACTACGCTAGGCCTATCTGCAGACGCCGTCCCTAATTTAGCAGTGAAAAACTAGAGGGAAGGCAGCTAGTAATTACCACCCACCGCCAACTCTTGGGCTACTCTTTTACCAACGAATAGTGCGATTGACCGTCACATTACAACGCCCCGAGGCTGAAAGGGCGAGCATGTTTGATGGGACGGGGATTCGAACCCGCGACCCTCAGATTGCGAGTCAAGCTCCCTAACCACCTGGCCATGCCGGGCCCAGTTAGTAATCATGTATTGTTTAGAGAGAGTGCAATGTTTTTGTTTGCCATCACACTAGAACGTGTTTCACGTGTGTGAAGAAAGGGGGAAATATCGCGACACCAATATATAATGTTTATTTCTGCTTTCCCCTAGATATATCACTTGAACATTAGGAACAGCTCTGCACTGATAGTTCACATGTAACTTTGAACGAAATCTCCAAAAACAAAAAGACAAAAAATATAACTTTCTTGGTAGGATATTAAACAAATCATAAATATAATACTCCCACCAAAATATCTGAACGAATAGTTAACACTTTCTAAGGACAGCTGTGAATACTAGATTTAGTGAAGAATAGGACACGAATATTAAATATTGCGGGAGAACAACAAACCAGCACAAGATTTAGCCGGAAAATACTGATTGAATAGTAATAGGTTTAGCTAGAGAATACCAAATACATGAGAATACATGAATACCAAATGTTACTGAATAGTATTATTTCACTCATTGCAATGAATGAATACTTTTATATATATATCCTTTGTGCCTAAATATGAAATATAGAATTATAGACTGGGTTATTTTTATTGAAGATAAAACGGTTGTTATCATCAATGGGCACAGAAAGACAAGGACAATAGAGAAGAACAGTGAGATAATTTACACAAAACAACGATATACGCACCGTGATTCATGTTTTACTTGATGTGCTGGAGTAATAGAAGTATTTGTCACAGTGATTCATGTTTTACTTGATGTGTTGGAGTAATAGAAGTACTTGTAATTGTGATTCATGTTTTACTTGATGTGCTGGAGTAACAGAAGTACTTGTAACTGTGATTCATGTTTTACTTGATGTGTTGGAGTAATAGAAGTACTTGTAACTGTGATTCATGTTTTATTAGATGTGTTGGAGTAACAGAAGTGCTTGTCACCGTGATTCATGTTTTACTAGATGTGTTGGAGTAATAGAAGTGCTTGTCACCGTGATTCACATTTTACTAGATGTGTTGGAGTAACAGAAGTGCTTGTCACCGTGATTCATGTTTTACTAGATGTGTTGGAGTAATAGAAGTACTTGTAACTGTGATTCATGTTTTACTTGATGTGTTGGAGTAATAGAAGTACTTGTAACTGTGATTCATGTTTTACTTGATGTGTTGGAGTAATAGAAGTACCTGTAACTGTGATTCATGTTTTATTAGATGTGTTGGAGTAACAGAAGTGCTTGTAACTATGTTGTATTTTATTTTTTGTTTTACCAGAGATTATATGCATCCAGGCAGTGTAGTAAATACGTGTTTATGATCGTTCAGTGTGACATGTACAATACGACGCGTCTAAGAAAGTTTTGTTATAAATTACAGGCCGTTTTTTCTTTTCATATACGTCACTTGCTGCTTACCATCCACAGGGAATGTGAAACAATTCGGGATTAAATTTGTGAAGTGTCTAAACAACCTAGTTATCTGTGTAACAGTAAATGATCTGTCAAGAAATGTTGATTATTGGTGTGTGGGAAATGTTATGCTTTGTCGGGTGTTGGGTATCACACGGTGAGGTGTAAGATGTGAATAACAATGAATACTGTCTTCATAGATTTATAAATTCAAAGTTGAGAAGAACTACGATTGTTACATAGATAATTTGTTTGCAGCTGAAAAATAATATTATTTAATTTAGATTAATGAAATAAATCGATTAATGAGATTATAGATAACGAGTTATCTGAAATACGAGTTATTATTTCTAATCAAGATTATTTTGTAAAAGTAATTGATAAAACTTTGTACTCCTGCGACTTTGACAAATTATAAAAATTTAAATGATTGTTATATCGCTGACAATTTCATAGACGTTTTTAAATAACCTGCAACTTTAAATTTTCTATTAGGTTCATCAACGCCAGAAGGAGGATCGTTCAGCCGATGGTTGACTATTCTAATAGAGCAGGTATGTGGTGTGATATCGATTTGTAGAGAGATGAGCCTAAACCTCAAATAACAGCACACTTTAACTTTGCATAGCGTTTTATCTACAAAGGGTTATTTTGTGTTAATACTTTAAATAGAAGTCCAAAAATACACACTATCAGTGGGTTGTTTATTTTTATTTATCTTTTTAAGATGTTTCAACCACTCGTGTGGCCATCTTCAGAAGACATGTACAACAGCCTAAAAGTCACCAATGCACATACCTTTTGTTCGTTTGTTGCTAAGAGAGATTCACAACTGACATCCACTCCATCCTTTCAACTTATGGCAACTATAACCATGAGCTTCCACAATTGCGAGATTTCTGGTGAAACCATTGCATGACAACAATAGATACAATGTTAAAGGGGTTCTAGAATTTCGAAGCATTCTCAACAACCTTAACAGTCATCACAAAATGTACAGCTTTGACGTAGTCTCCGGGTATACAACAATCATCATATAATGTACAGTTTTGACGTACTCTCCATGTATACAACAGTCATCACAAAGTTTTCAGTTTGTCATAGTCTCCATATATACAACAGTCTTCACAAAATATACAGTTTTGACGTAGTCTCCATGTATACAACAATCATCACAAAATGTACAGCTTGACGTAGTTTCCGTGTACACAACAATCATCACAAAGTTTTCAGTTTGTCATAGTCTCCATATATACAACAGTCTTCACAAAATATACAGTTTTGACGTAGTCTCCATGTATACAACAATCATCACAAAATGTACAGCTTGACGTAGTTTCCGTGTACACAACAATCATCACGAAATGTACAGCTTGACATAGTTTCCATGTATACAATAATCATCACAAAATGTACAGTTTGGACGTAGTCTCCATGTATACAACAATCATCACAAAGTGTACAGTTTGACGTAGTCTCCATGTATACAACAATCATTACAAAATGTATAGTTGGAACGTAGTCTCCATGTATACAACAATCATCACAAAATGTACAGCTTGACATAGTCTTCATGTATACAACAATCATTACAAAATGTATAGTTGGAACGTTGTCTCCATGTATACAACAATCATCACAAAATGTACAGTTGGAACGTAGTCTCCATGTATACAACAATCATCACAAAATGTACAGTTGTGACGTAGTCTCCATGTATACAACAATCATCACAAAATGTACAGTTTTGAAGTAGTCTCCATGTATACAACAATCATCCCAAAATGTACAGTTTTGACGTAGTCTCCGCGTATACAAAAATCATCACAAAATATACAGTTTTGACGTAGTCTCCATATATACAACAATCATCACAAATATACAGTTTGACGTAGTCTCCATATAAACAACAATCATCACAAAATGTACAGTTTTGACGTAGTCTCCATATATACAACAATCATCACAAATATACAGTTTGACGTAGTCTCCATATAAACAACAATCATCACAAAATGTACAGTTTGACGTAGTCTCCTTATATACAACAATCATCACAAATATACAGTTTGACGTAGTCTCCATGTTTACAACAATCATCACAAAATGTACAGCTTGACGTAGTTTGCATGTGTACAACAATCATCACAAAATGTACAGCTTGACGTAGTTTCCATGTATACAACAACCATCACAAAATGTACAGCTTGACGTAGTCTCCATGTATACAACAACCATCACAAAATGTACAGCTTGACGTAGTTTTCATGTGTACAACAATCATCACAAAATGTACAGCTTGACGTAGTTTCCATGTATACAACAATCATCACAAAATGTACAGCTTGACGTAGTCTCCATGTATACAAAAATTATCACAAAATAAACAGTTATAACGTAGTCACCATGTATACAACAATCATCACAAAATATACAGTTTGGACGTAGTCACCATGTATACAACAATAACCACATAATGTACAGTTGTGACGTAGTCTCCACGTATGCAACAATCATCACAAAATGTACAGTTGTGACGTAGTCTCCATGTATACAACAATCATCACAAAATATACAGTTTGGACGTAGTCACCATGTATACAACAATAACCACATAATGTACAGTTTTGACGTAGTCTCTGCGTATACAACAATCATCATAAAATGTACAGTTTTGACGCAGTCTCCGCGTATACAACAATCATCATAAAATGTACAGTTTGGACGTAGTCTCCGGGTATGCAACAATCGTCACAAAATAAAGAGTTTTGACGTAGTCTCCGCGTATACAATGATACCAAAAGATGAAGCAACAAACCTAGCTCTAGAAATGATATCCTAAAATTCCAACAAATTACACCACAAAAAGAACTTGGAAATTTTGAAAAACTTGTTTCACTTCTCTCAAAATAGGTTTCACCTGTCAAGACAGAACTTATTATCAAATAGATGGCGAAGCATGAGCAGCCTCCTGTCATCTGGATTATGTATCAACGAAATAGAAAGTTAGGCCATAACACAGCTCTAAACACAGGTTTAGATAGGTCTACCATGTATTTAGTGGGTTCGAAGACAACTTCCATCAACATTAATTTCTACAACACGTAATCAACGTTCACTACTACATCAAATTCACTCGTGAAGAAGAGAATGAAAACTAGGTTTTAAATTGCACGAACAATAGAAAGAAACTCCGACAGGTTTAACACGAAAAACTTTCACAAATCTTGTAATGATAAGAACTATATGACGTGGGACTCAGTACACTCAACTCAACAAAAAAATGATACGTTATCATACGTTTACAACACAGCATTTAACATATGTAGTTGCACTAATCTGCAACATGAACTAGAATCAATGTAAGATACATTTATTAATAAATGTCACTTCCATAAACACATTGTTACTAGAAACTTAGTCAAGTATAAAAACAAACTCAGTAACAGTAACAAGTATCAGAGAAACACAAAATAAACAACAAAGTAATTTTTATACAAAAAAACGAGCACTAAAATCAAAGGGTATCTGAGGAAAGTTTATTCTGACAACTTCAACGATGGAAGCATCTACAAGTATCAATGTGATACACTTATACAGGCTAAATGGGATGTAACATAAGTATTAGGATCAAAGAACGTAACAATCCTCCATCACACAAATCAACATCTAATCCATGTCAACAATTTTAAATTATTATGTTATGAGAACAACATCAATATAAGAAAATTAAAAGAAATATTCGTGAACTAAAGCTTAATTTAAATCAAAACACAATCTATATGTTTTCTAAATTAGAAAAGAATGCTCGCGCAGTATTTCACGAAATAGAGACAGTTAGCCTCGAGTGGTCGAAACGTCGTAAAAACGTTAAATAAACATAAACAATCTACTCAAAAGCTGTATCTTTTGTATTTTTATTTAAAGTGTATAGTGAATTTCCTGTCCTCACAACAAATGTTAATACATTGTTTATTGCCAAATTTGTGGCATATCGCCGCAGATGCGACACATGGGCGACATCTTTAACACCTATATAATTAATTGGTTCACGGTGAATTCCCGGTTATTTAACAAGGTAATGAAGCTATAAACCTTTTCAATTAGAAATATCCATATATCGAGATTGTTAAACAGCATATATCCAAAATACATGGCAATTTGTGGAAGGGAACCTTCATGTTCGCTGTGAAAGCGAAAGAGCCTTTAGGACAATAAAGATCTCCAAACCACACCCCAAACATATCATAAACAATGTTCTCTCCGGCAAAGTGATGCCCATGATAGTGTAATTAAGGAAGATAATCTTTAAATCCAAAAAAAGACTTGTAAGGAAGTTGGGCATATCTCCTGATACCGCTAATAATATAATAAACAAGGATTTGAAATTGGCCAAGGCTGACAGGCCAAAAGTTCACAAGAGTCCAGCTATACCTCAAAACAGTGACCATTTAGATGAAAAAAATGACCGAAGTAACTTGAATCACAGTGATGCCAGTCGACACCTCATCTCTTAAACCCTCTGATTCAGTTCTAATGGATTTTTCAAACGTCGGATCGAAATATTAGGATCAGTTTATAGAACGCAAACACGACCATCAAACTCAAGAGGTAAGAAGTTCCAAGGACTTTGGTTTTCTTTGTCAGACAGAGGAAGTTTGGTGTGGTTTGAATTTCGCGCAAAGCTACACGAGGGCTATCTACGTTAGCCGTCCCTAATTTCGCAGTGAAAGACTAGAGGGAAAGCAGCTAGTC